GAGCTGAAAGGTTTCGGGATTCTGGATTAGAGCACGAGGGGGGACGGAGCGTTGACTTCATTAGACGAGACCTCTCCAACTTAACGTTTAGGTTCAGTGTGCCTCTAACCATTCGGTGATCGCTGCCAGTTTTCACCCTTGCGATCACTGAGACATCACTGAACAGTTGGCGTCTGGTCGTCATAATGAAGTCAATCTCATTTTTTGTCGAACCGTCGGGGCTCGACCAGGTCCACTTCCTGTGGGGCCGCTTCTGGAAGAAAGAGTTCATCATAAAGAGTCCCTCTTTCTCCATAAAGTCGGCCAGCTGCTGGCCCCTTCGGTTCCGTTGCCCTACTCCAAATTTCCCTACCTTCAGCTCACCGCTTTCTCTTGTGCCCAGTTTTGCGTTGAAGTCTCCCATCAACACCGTGTAGTAGGTTTTGGAGGAATGTATGGCTCTGGAAATATCCTCATACATTTCCTCCACCTCCTCATCGGGATGTGCCGAGGTTGGTGCGTAAACTTGAGGTAAGGTTAAATATAAACAAATATTTTTCCAAGTGCGAATCGGACTTCCGAGCTTCCGTACCGTCTTACAAGATTTAAATACCTATACATATTACTATCGATCAAAAAAAGCAAAAATACTCGTTTCTTTTTATAGTAGAATATCATTTAATTTCAAATTTATTTTTACTATTTGCTGTTATAGCGGCAACAGAAATACACGTTCTGTGAAAATTACAACCATCTACCTATTACGTATCATGAGATGCAGACCGCTGACAGATAGACACACGGACAGCGGAAGCTCCGTAATAGGGCCCTGCTGGTTACCCTTCGGGTACGGAATCCTAAAAAGTACTAAGTTGTCCACTCACATCTGTATGATTCTTTCTTCAAAGGACCATATTAGTCTGGTTCTCGTATGACATGACCAATGTAATACCTGGACTGACCTCTCTGAGTTTGTTTCGGCAGATCGGGTGCTTCTTCTCAGTTTCATGTTTTTGTTGTGTTAAAGTGTTTTAAAAAAAACAACTTACAAAACAAATTTTATTTATCATTGACTGCCCTTCTTAGATTATTAGGTACTTACATAAATTACATTGGGTATATTAGGATATGAGATTCCTATACGTAAGCACGATTATCGAAAATCTAAAAATTACCTATTCTAATTAAATTAATAGATAATTTTAAGATTTTCGATAATCGTGCTTATCTATGAGATGTTTTCGTTAGTTAGCAAATTAAAGTAGTTAAGTACCTAATGTACTACCTGTATCGAAAGTTCATTATTATGTACCTACCTGTTTTCAATTTTAACTAAATGTGCTTCAACAAACCTATGGGCACATTTTAGCAGCTATATTCATCCCGGTTTCAGCAATGGACACGAACAAAAGGAAGCAATTTTCTAAATAAAGATGTAGATATGTAGGTATTACAACCATAAATAGATAGCAGCGGCTAAACTAGTGAGTATGTGTGAGTGCGCGCTGCGCCCCCCCCCCCCCTCCCCCTCCTCCGTCCGTCCCACTGATCGGGAAAACAATTTGTAGCGAAAGGCAAGATGATTTATAACAAAAAAAGAGCGCGCGAAATTTTATTAACAGACCTTTGGGAGTCTGGATGTCATGAAAAATCTATTGAATGTATCTTCTTAAAATAAAATACAACAAAAAGGAGCGCGCGAAATTTTATTAACAGACCTTTGGGAGTCTGGATGTCATGAAAAATCTATTGAATGTATCTGTTTAAAATAAAATTATTTGCATTTTTGAACAACTAATCTATCCCTGTATGGTAATTGTTTTGCAATTTTCGTTCTTCTTATGGTATTTATTTCCGCCCAAAGATGTGTTAAAACTAGTGTTGAAATTTGGAATTTTCGACGCTTATAACTTTTAAACATACTCTTTTTTTACTTTTTTGTTTCCATACAGGGCTAGATAATTATGAGACAAATTGAAATCATTTTTTATTTTGAACGTAGGTACACCATCAAACAGTGGAGTAATCGCCAGACTACGTTTGTATGGAAGAATAAGCGACTAGTGTACCCTTAAACATTATTTTGCGTTCATCGAGGTCTATTCCCGACTATTTCCAGTATTTTAAGTGTATCTACTATATTCATTCAGAAAAATACTATAATCAGCTGAAGAAATGTTGGCAACCCTACCTATTGGGATCCCGCATTATATTTAATAGCTAGCATATCCGCACACGATGCTACCCAGATGATAGTTTTTGGTTCATAAAGACCTAAAGTAGCCGACGAACTAAATGCCAGTGTCATATAAGTTAAAAATTAACCATGTCTATTTTAACAGTTAAAAAAAAACAGAGAAGGTTCTATAATTGATTTATTTATTATAATATGTCACCGATTTTTCGGTCACGGCTAAACAGATGTAAGTGTGATTTTATTATTAAGTTATATTTAAAGTGTAAAATAACACATATAAATTTAAAGACTTTATATATTATTATTATAGATAAAGTTTTTATTTATTATTATAATAGTTGTATTTGGTAAAGCCACGCTGCAGCTATATATGGTTGTAGCATAGAAGGGTCGGCTCGACCGGGGAAGGATCACAGAATACCAGCGTAAAATAGCTGCTGTGTTCCATTTAGTGAGTGTAGAGAACCGGAGACCCGTTTTACTGGAAACGAGGCGTTCCATCTTATTCCTCAGACATTTTGATTTTTAATCGAAGTTAAATGTAGATGTCTATGGGCCACAAGATCCACCTATCATTAGGTGGACTGTGTGCTCGTTAGTCACCCTTCTTCTATTTAAAACTTGTAATATTGTTCTGACTATTCAACGAAAACGATTAAACTTATACGTATATATTTTACTTATATATATATATATTTTTTTCTTGACACCCACTTTGGATATTGACGAGGACCTTAACAGCGTGATTAAGATCTTACGGGATGAGGGCAACAGGTTTTGTGGCAAACAACATACCGCGGGCTGAAAGTCGAAGGCCAAAGAAGGCGTGAGCTAACAACAGCATAACCATCGGACCGGGTGACACTAACCAAGCTTGTGAGGAAAGCTGTGAGGCGGGACCTGCGTCGCTCTGATGCAATTGCTATACAAGCGGCAATAGAGCGAAACCGAAAAAAAATCTTTGTTCGGGAGCTTGGAAGAAGTCACATCACAAAACTCCAGACGCATGATGGCAAAGTCCTCACGTCAGAGCCTGAGGTTCTCTCTGAGATCGAACACTATTATGGCAAACTATATGCCTCACATAAGCCACAACACAACACCAGTACGATGTCCGTCCAAGTATAGAACAGTCAAACAAAACCAATCCAGTTGCATCGCGGAGTGAGACAGGGGGATGTTATATCCCCTAAACTGTTTACAAATGCACTGGAAGATGTTTTTAAGACGTTAGACTGAAAAGGACGCGGTATTAACGTAAACGGTGAGTACAGCTCACACTTACGCTTTGATGATGATATCGTCGTCATGGCAGAATCGCTGCAGGAACTTCGGGATATGCTGAACAGACTAAATGAATCCACTCAACGTTGGTCTGTGCATGAATCTGAACAAGACAATAGTTATGTTCAACGATTACGTCATGCCCGCACCAATTACTGTTGATTGTGAAATTCTCGAAATTGTCCAGGAATATACCTACCTCGGGCAGATATTGCAACTGGATAAGAATAACTTCGAGAAAGAAGCCGATCGGAGGATTCAGTTGCGCTGGGCAGCATTTAGAAAGCTCCGTCGGGTTTTCACGTCGCCCATAGCCGCCAAAGTCTGAAGACAAAAGTCTTCAACCAGTGCGTTCTGCCCGTACTCACTTATGGTGCCGAAACGTGGACACTGACGATACGTCTGCTCCAAAAGCTTAAAGTCGCTCAGCGAGCAATGGAAAGAGTTATGCTCGAAGTTTCTCTGGTAGACAAAATTCGAAATGAAGAAATCCGCCGGAGAACCAAGGTTACTGACATAGCCTTCCGTGTTTGTATTTGTAAGCTGATTTTCTAAATCAGCATTTAAAATTGCTATTTACAATTTCATTTATGCAGGCAGGAATCGAACCCGGGTTGCTCGCGTACTGCGTTATTTACAGATAGTGCTAAGCCACTAAGCTATCTCGGCTCACAAAGTAACTGGATAGTTATAGCGCCATCTATAGTAAGCCGTAAAATACTAACATATTCTTGGCATTTCCTGCGGTCGCTTCTTGCGAAAGCCAGGAGAAGAATCAGTTGATAAGTTGGGAAGAGATTTTGTTGTTTCTTGTTTGTGCGTGTAGCTGGTAGCGACATAAACTTGTCATAGTCCGGAAGGAAAGTCTGCCAAGAGTGCAGCCACACACCGTTACAGCGAAAGTCTGAACGTAGGCCTCCCCATTGAGTGTAATGCATTACATTTGCCACAGCTGCAACGCTGGCAGGCGGGTTGGTGACCGCAGTTATTATTTTTTAAGCTGTTATTAGGGAGCTGCTGATCTTCTGGTTTGTTTACCGCCTGTCGTCTCTTACGACGCCCACGGTACGATATGGGCTTGTGGATATTCTTACACCACTCATGTCCTCCAGACCGCAATTCAGTCACGGCGGCCAGCCTCAACGGAGACTAGCCATCTGTGCAGGACAGAATTATAGTGCCCATGTGTATGCGCAAGCACAGGTGCACTCTCTATTCCCCCACTCACATAGTCCGATGAGACGGTAAACTGACACGACCGGAGAGAGATCAGGTGCAGGACCAACGACTTTACGTGCTTTCCGATGCACGGGTGAAAGATACCACCAACTTCCTGACTCCCGGCAACTACTGAGAATTTTTGACGGAAAAAGTCAACTGATTCTTTGGCCCGACCCGGGATTCGAACTCGGAACCTCATGATCAGCGGTCGCACTACTACGACCACTAAACTAACGAGACAGTCACCACTACTTTTACACACTACACGGTCAAGAGCACATCATGATTGTATGTAATACTTGCTAATCGTTGTCTTCAGAGTCGTGCTAGCAGCATGTTCGGAACTCCTCGGCGCACTGCTGGGAGCCCACGAAGCGCACGGGGAGCCTGTGCTGGTCATAGATGGCGCGGAACCCCGACACCTGCGAGCGCTCCTGGACTACATGTACACCGGCGAGATGAGTGTGCACCATGTGAGTATTGATCACGTTGTTAATAGGTCCAAAGCCTCAAGCAAAATGCAAATGTTCACCTGTGAGAACTAAAATAGAACGCCTCGTAACCAGTAAGCATGTTGATGAGCGCATATGTTTCGCCATAATGAAAATAGCATGCCAATAATAATACATTGAATTTAATGATTTTATAATGAAATTACTAACTTAATAGTAGTTATCATAATAATTATTAACAAATATATCAACGAAATAAAAATGGAATAAAATAAAATTTTGTACCTATATCAATTTATGTTAAGTTTTTGGTACAGAGAAACGAATCTATGCTGTAAAAGTTATTCTGACTTAGCCATTTTTTGCGTACTTATCCGACCTTGGAGTGTCATTGTATATCATTCTGTGAGGATCTCTCAATCTATGGGTGCGTTTGGCAGAAAAAAGCGCTAGCAAGCGCTTACTAGCGCTAAAATAGTTTTCGGCCAGGACACGATTGCTACTTCAGTAGCGCTGACACAATCCGCCATTTTGCTTATTAGGGTATTTCCGAAAACAATCAGTACTGTCCAATGCAATACTCGATATACTTTCTCAATCTCAGAAAATGCAATGAGTCTCCAAAATCATATATCCTCCTAATGGATATACCATCAATGATTCTATAAGTATGAATAAATAGAAACAAATTCTGGCATTTTCGAAACACAAAAAAAATTGACCCCCCCACCGTAATTACTTGCATTGACAGTACACTGCGTTGTATTTCGGAACATACCCCTAATTTGTTTGTTTTGAAGTAGAGTTTATAAGTTATTTTGTGCAATATTAGTTAATATAAGACTAGTATATAATAAATAGATATAGATAATAGTATGTAATATAATGACATGAATAGACATATACATGCTATTAAAAATTCATAATTGGTAAGTTTTTAATATGAATACTTCACAAACATATATTTAAATTAGGTTAGGATCCCCGGTTAAAACTAACATCGTGTCCTAGAGGAAAACAGCTACTTACGATTTGACAGCGCTTACCGCTTACAATCGCCATTTTGCTTACAAGCGCTTGCTAGCGCTTTTTTCTGCCAAACGCACCCATTTATTAAATAATTCTGTATTTTGGTGTACAAAAACTGCAACTCGATTAATGTAAAGTGCGGTAGTTGCCATAATCCCAAACTTTTATACAGTTGTTTACAGGACGCGTCAGGTAAAACTCCACATATGGCCGTGATGCATTTTTATTTGGGCGATAAATTGCTGCGTAAATAACGAAAAAGTTATCGTTGTAATTTGTAACAAATCATCTTGCACTCTTGATTACTTCCAGTCTATTTAACAAGTCGGGTTCAAAAGCTTTGATACCGGAGATCTCATACATAAAAGTGAAGTTAACTTACAGCCCTTACATACGTCCTTCTCTGGGCACAGGCCTCCTCTCATTTTTGAGAAGCTTTTAAGGGCAAGAAATTCCAATCTCACTTACTGTCACAGCACCGACACCCTTCCTACAATCTCATAACCCCCAAAAATCTTAGTGTAGGGAACGTTTTTCAAACAGAAAAAAAAACAGCACCGCAATTGGTTTCAGTCTCAACTGGCGAGTCTACTGAAGACGGCAGAAGAGCTCCGCATCAAGGGCTTGACGGATATACGGTGGAACAATAAGGACGAGCCTCCCGACTGTGAGACAGGTGAGACTTTTATCAGTGACGTCACATAATTGGCTTTAGAGTGAGAAGAAAGGTAACCGACTACTTGCTCATGAAATTAAGGTGACGAACGAGCACACAGTTCACCTGGTAAGTGGATGTTGTGGTCCATCCAGCCTTGATTAACTATCGCAATGCCATCTGCATTTGTTATTCTTGACTACTAAGATGGCACGCCTAGTTAAAAGGTGTTTTTATAGGATAAGGGTGACAAATGAGAACACAGTACACCTATATAGTAAGTATAGTAAATGGTTGCTGTGCCCATAAACATCTATCATTTAAAATATGTCCTCGATTACGAAACAAAATGTAGATGCGATGTCATCCCTTAGGACTAAGATGGAATGCCTCGTTTCCAGTAAAAAGTGTCTCCGGATCTCTACACTCACCATACGAAACATAGCAGCTTTAAGCTGCTATTTTACGCTGGTATTCTGTGAGAGCGTGGTCCTTCCCCGGTCGAGCCGACCCATTCGTGCTACAACCATAATAGATGCAGCGTGGCTCTACCACGTATTTCCATCCTACGAGTTTACCACAAACAAGGGACGGAATGGTTTGATAGATTCTTGTAAAACATATTTCTCTATTTATGTTAAAATGAAATGTTTCCAGGCGCCGTGACGGCAACCTCAGCGAACCAGGAAAAGAAACCTGCCACGGAACAAAGGCTACCCGAACCCAAACCCGCGGTGGAGACAAAGCCACCCGAGACCAGACCGAGCGCGGAGACCAAGCCGGAGACGATATCGGACAGTAGAACGCACACAAAACGGGATACGGAGACCAGTGATGTGGAAACTAAGCCAACGGAAAAGTTTAATATAAATGGTGAGTAGGTTTTTAAAGCTCTTTTATCAGCTTGACTTACATACAGATTTATATGTACAAATATAAGTATAGTGATAATGTTCTCCGGACTAAAAGTAAGTTTACGGCCAGTCTCGATGCAGACTAGACTTCTGAGCAGGATAGAATTATAGTGCACGAGTGTATGCGCAAGCTGCACTCTCTATTTCCTCACTCTCATAGTCTGACGGGACGGTTTTCCGACACAACCGGAGAGAGATCAGGGTTCTTGACTCCGGGAGGCCACTGAGAATTTCTTGACAGAAAAACCCAATAATAAATTCGAACCGGGATCTCATTTTCAGCAACCGTGTTTATGACCACTAGACCACAAGAATATCAAAACAAAGCGTGTGCATTTGTGTATGTATAAAACGAATTTAGTTTGTTAGGTTTCACACACTTCTGAACTTTTGAATAACGTGAGATTTTCTAACCGTATTGTTAGGTATTTTTCATTTAAAAATAATGCAAATTAAATGTGGTCTTGGACGATTGTATCGTCATAACAGTTGAGAGGGTAATAAAATATTGAAAGGACAAACAACCTATTCAAAAATTAACGTATTGGCAAACTCGTTGCTATGAAGGAAGGCGCAGGCGCTTCCACGCGTATTGAGAGGCGACGACAATAGACATAATTCATGATGATTCATGACTATGACCTATCCCTCGAGAAACCAAACCAGGAGATGGGCAGGAGTATGTTCAACCTCCAAAGGCAATCTTGATAGCAAATTTGATAGATTGACGGTAATGATATTAGAAGCCAGCGCTCCTTGACTTTATTATTTCACCAGATGGCAGCACATAATTCATTCAATTATTACCATAGAATACTATGATTACATACATAATAGAACGGGGGAGTGGGCGGAGCCCGTGTAGCCACTAAAATGTCACTAACACGTCAATTCACGGGTATAAACGTCAACACGAGATGTGTTTTGACGTTACAATCGTTTCCATAATGCGCATGCAAATTATTTAGAATATGCTATATTGCACGCTATTTACAAATGAATATGTATTAAAATCTGTCTGTCAACACAGCGAATCGGGTTTGTAGTGGTAATACAAATACGACGTAATTGCTTGTATGTGTGCTCCCGGCGACGCATATCCTCGTACAAAATAAGGTTGACAGCCATTCTATTGTGTATTATAGTATTCTATGATTATTACAATCTATTCTAATGATCACAGCTGAACATAGCCTTCCTCCTTAAATGGGTTCTTCCGAGGACAGAGGTTTTTTCCGAACCAGTGGGAAAGATAGAAATTATTTTCAATAAGTAAGTCTTGTAACGTACGTTGAATAAAAACGATTCTATTCTATTCTATTGCCACCTAGAGGCGTATTTACTTTAGTTGCCACGGGAAATCAAGCGGGAAAACGTGCACAAACAGTATTTTATTAATTTTGGGGTGCTATCAGGTAGATGCTCCCATAGAATACTATATTACACAATAGAATGGCTGTCAACCTTACTTTGTAGGTGGATTGGCGTCACCGGGAGCACACAAACAAGCAATTACGTCGTATTATCAGTTATCACTACTACAAACACATTTAGACTTTTGATTAATGTTATTGACAACTAAATGTTTCTTTATTTTTGTTTCTAATATTCACAAAATATATTTATATTGTGTGAATATAATTTGGACTGGTTACTGGTTGTAGAATATGTCTTTATTTAAATTCCATTTCCCGCTGTTCTTTCCACACATAATTATTGCACAATTTGCCATTTTTAAATAATTTGCATGCAGCGACGCTTGGCACGAAAATTGGATACGATTGATTGATTGTGTTGGCATTTATACGTGTGAATTGACATGTTAGTGGCTACACGGGCTCCGCCCACTCCCCCGTTCTATTATGTATGTATTATAGTATTCTATGGGTGCTCCTGTCCATTTGTTTTATTTACCTCTGTGGCTGTGTTGTATGTGAAAGATATCATCATCATCGTCATCAATACAGCCCTTCGCAAGTCCACTGCTGAACATAGGCCCCAAGGAATGCCACAAAGCACGGTCCAGAGCCACCTGCATTAATAGACTTCCTGCATGTCTCACCAGGTCGTCACTCCATCTAGTGGGGGGTCGCTAACCGCGCATTAACTACGCCTACCGGTACGGTATATGACCGGCCCATTGCCACTTCAGCTTACTAAATCGTTGCGCTATGCCGGTCACTCTGGTTCTACTGCGGATATTCTGATTTCTTTAGTTTATTATACGCAGAAAAACCCCGAGCATAATCCTCTCGATAGCTCGTTGAGCGACCTTGAACGACCTCATACGGCCAGCAGTGAAGTACCACGTCTCAGATCCATAAGTCATCACTGGCAAGATATATATTTATATTTCACCACGTTAATTTAACAATCTTGATTTTTGACGAAAAATAAACACAAAATAATATAAGAGACTGATGCCTAAAATAGGCGCAGAACACGTATTTCAGGTCATCAGGTCTCCCCCCAGTTGAGCAAGATTTATTATTGTATTTTTGTTTGTTTCCAGGTGGGCCTCCGCCGCTAATAAAGCTTCCCATTAAAGAGAAATCCAGTCCAGTGAAAAGGGAAAACTCCGACTCGTGAGTATATTTGACTTTTTTGTTTCCGTGACGAACGTAATCTCTTTAAAATTAATTTCGTGTATGTCCGTCATTCAGACCGGCATTTTTTATAGATAGCAGTGCAGCAAACGAGCACACAGCCCACCTGATGGTAAGTGGATGCTGTGACCAATAGGTATCTTCATCTATCCTCAATTAAGAAACAAAACGCAGATGCATTATTAACCTTGAAAACTTAGATAGAATGCATCGTTCCCAGTAAAAAGTCGGTTTATGGTCTTAAGGTATTCACCATACAAATCACAGCAGCGTTAAGCTGCTATTTTGACCTTAGAAAGACAAGTTTAAAACCCTTGACAGTTACTAAACCACCTTATCTTTTTTATTTTATTAGGCTCTCGTAACACTGACTACACCATTACGTACATATGGAATGACATCATGATTATTATAACTAACATCACGTGCGTAATTATAAAAAGAACGTTGATTTAACAATAGTAAATAGATACTATTTAACTGTAATAAAATTCAAATTTGAAATAATAATGAACTTACAGTACATAGTTTTAATCGCCGATGACTACTTTTTTGTCGCCAACTATCAAGGTTGAGAATATATCTAATCTGCTTTGGTATTCTTTGTATATTGTAAACGTTCTTGTTAAGGCGGTACCCCGACCAAAACCTTGCAAAAGTGCGTTTTTCAGAGACTGTGATCTCATTAGTTATGAGAAATAAACTACATCTAAAAGCACATTATTAATGTTCGATATCCTATCATCACAATCCACGTTTTAATTTGTTTTTATGTTTTATAAATATCTTTAAAATCAACTTTTAAAAAATGACTAAAATTATTGATTACATGCATCTATTGCTGAATACAACGCTCTAATCATTTGAGGATTACACTAACGGATAGATAATTTAAAAATCTATATTATTCAGGTTTTATTTAATTTCTTAAGTACTTTTTTAATTGATATAATTCCAATGATTCGAGCGTATTTTTACTCGATATATTGTACACGATTTGTATGTGACCGAACGCTCAAGGTCGTTCGCTAGGGGAAACGCCTTAGAAGACAATTTGATCTTAAATTGGTTCGACTTTGGGGTGCAACTAGGGTTGCTAGATGGTCGGGATTTGTCTGGATTTTCCGACATTTTAAATGATGTCCAGACTCCCGACAAAACTCAAAATCTCCAGATAAACAGCTTCTCTTCGCATCACACCTGTCTTTGATTTAATAAAAGCTGAGTTAGTTATTAGATTGAACTTTGAAGTAAATTGTTTGAATTTTAAATCTTTTCTGTTCTAAAGGTTCCAAAGTTTCTAAAGGTTTAAGAAACTAGTGGTCTCAGTAAAGTCCAATGCCAAATACATGTGGTAACATAATAATTGAGTGTACCTAAATTAGTTGTGTGTCAACAGTCTTTCAACAAGTCTTATTGTGCCTATTCATTTAAAAAAAGAAACTTTTTTTTTAAATTTAATTCTTTATTTGCGCAATCTGGGTATAGATGGTGTTACAGTGGTCAATTTACATTGTTGATCGCCATATATAGGTTCATGCCATGCAAATCACTTATCTATTACATAACAAATTACAGTGTCTAAATAATTATTAAATTAATGTCAAATAAGATTACCTGTACATATACAATGTCAAATTTTTAAATTAAATGTCATATAAAATGTCTAATTAATGTCACAGTACCACTTAGCCAGTTTACATATTTATTTCTCCCGACAACGACCCTAAAATTCCAACATTTTCAAATTTTCTCCAAATGTATTTTGGTCTTTCAATTTGGCATTGCTAGGTGCAACAAATAATTCTATAGTAAGAAGGAGGCAGTTTGATTTTGTTTGAGACTATTAAACGTAGAGAATTAACATTATATGACGTAGGAATATATCAAATATTTAAAATTCTCCATTTATCCTTATATTAGTATACAAAGTTAATTTATTAAATCTATTTCGATGACCTGATCCATTCACAAACCTTTGTCATCAAGAATTGACTTTAAAAGAAAATGGCAAACGTCGCACGATAGAAATGAAAACTTAAACTATGAAATAAATACAGAAACACTAGTGATCCGCCCCGGCTTCGCACGGGTGGTTTCTAAATCTCGACAACAGCGCCGCCTACCGGGTCCGATTGTGAATCTAAAATATTGTCGAATCAACTTAATCACACAGTTTATGAATAGTTTAGTCACATACACATGTACAGAAGAATCTCTATATCCTATACCTTTAAACGAGCAATTCTTGTATATATATATATAATCGGGATCTCGGAAACGGCTCCAACGATTTTCATGAAATTTAGTTTCCAGGGAGTTTCCGGGGCAATAAATCGATCTAGCTAGGATTTATTTTTTAGAAAATGTCCTTTTGTCCATGTTTTCAGGCAATAAAAAAAACTGATACAATATAAGAAGGTAAATTTTGACAAATTATCAACGATTATAATAGCTCAGATGAGATGTTGTTCGGGCGTGATAACGGAGTTCCGTGGTTCGCGTCCCGTCTTGGGTTCGACTTTTTTTCCTTTTTTTTTTCAAGTTCCCTTCTTTTGTGAGAAAATCTATTATTTCGAGCCCTTTTTTTAGTATTTTTTAAAAGTACGAAAATTTTAATTAAAGTAATTGCACTCATGTTTTTTTCTATTATGTCAATAAGATCAAAAACTATTATTCATTTAATTTGTATATAAACGTAACTTTAAAAAACCGACCGAAGCTCGGTCATCCGGGTACTATTATATAACAAAGTCGCTCCCCGACTTCCCGTCGTCTGAACGCTTAGATCTTTTAAACTACACAACGGATTTTGATGCGGTTTTGATCAATAGACAGAATGGTTCAAGAGGAAAGTTTACATGTACGTAGTACACGTATATGTTGCCGACATCCAAAACCCACCCGTGCGAGGCGGCTCGCTAGTGATTTATAATTTATAAACATTAATGAAACTATAATCTGTACTTTCATTGAAGTCCGAGGGCACTTTGTTAACGTGATTTAGAGATTATTTTAGATACATATGTAACTTCATTTCGTATTTTCCTAATAAAAGTAATTGTCGTAAATGAGAATATAACTGGGTGGTATATCTGGGGCATAGTGCCGCCAAGTCGAGCAAAAAAGCGGCGCGGCCGTACCATTTTAGAAGCAGTTCAGGCCATTTTCGACCCCCCTATACCTTTGTAGTGGATAAAACTGGAAGCCTGAATTTTCAGTAACCAAGTAGGCATTGTATAAACATGGTATATTTCAAATTTCATTCAATTTGAACCAGTAGTTTAAGAAGTACTTCATTTCTAATTTTGTCACTCACTGACTGACCGATCATCAAAACTCTAAGGCACTTCTAGCAGACATAGAAGCTTCAAATTTAAAATACAATTAGTGTTTAGTGTATAAATCAAGGAGAAACTAAAATATTTTATTTTATTTTGGGCCCATTTTTCTAGATACACCAACTGCACAAATAACTTTGTAATCCCATATAAAAATATAGAATTACAAAGTTACATTTACAGTGAATGAATCAATCAGTGTCCTTGTAGGTAAGTAAGGTACCGGAAAGATGAAAAAGTAGGGCTATCCACAAAAAGAAATGAGATGCCATCAAAAACATAACTTGTGAAAAAACCCAAGTCTCGCAACACAGTTCTTCTAGAATAAAATGTTGTGAGATGCATGTAATACCAAGTTGGTTAATTTATTCAGTCCCTACGTAAGGGTTCTTTTGTTATTACGTAATAACGAAAAGACCCTTACGTTATTACGTAATAATTACGTAATTAGCTAACCTAGCAACATCTTGGGCTTGTCCTAGTTTGGAGCTCTAGCTTCGCCACTGTCCAATAGTAAACATAAGAAGTCTTTAATTTTATCCACACACAAAGCTTTCCACGCGCTTAAAGAAGTTTTAAATCCATAAATAAAATGAATAATTTAATATTTTCCCTTCCAGTGACAGCCCGAGTCCGAAGAGGCAGCGTGTACCAAGCGGCACGGAGAACACTGACGACGAGTTGCAAACACCGAAACTGTGAGAGTCCCTTCACTTTAATTCAGTCACTATTCAGTCACTTTCATTTCTTGATGTTTTATTGAGAATTAACTGTGATGCGTTCTTGAGAGTGTTTGAACCGCAATATACTTACGAAGGAGCCGCTACATTACTATGAAAGAACTACGTAAGGGCGAGTTTCCACTTCTCGGGTGTCGGCGCCGCTGTTCGCACCAGTCATTTGTCGGACCCGGTTGATGCTAATGGTGGTTAACATAGCGCATAGCGCCATATTATAGCGCGCTATCTCTCCATAACACATCGCGCGTGCTATGTAAGTAGTCGCCATGGCGCTATTGCGCTTTTGTCTTATTAAGTATTAATGTCTAGCGGCAACTAGTTCTACAGCAGCGCTGTTGGGAGAAGACGTGTGGCGCAAATTTAATCTAGTAGCACGCTTTTCATCGCGCGCGAACTAATTTAGTGTTAGACGTTGTTTAGTTAGTGTATACTGTATATATTTATGTGTGATCGAAGGATACAGTTGTCTGCTATAAAAGAAGCCTAACTAATTTTTTTAAATGTTAATAAAATATAGATACAAAAATGTATATAAATAGTGTATGTAAATAGTTGATTTTTATAAATTCAATCAATAAACTTTTAAATACAGTTATTTGATTTATAATTTATATTAAGGTTAAAATAACGTTTACATCAATTATAATAAAAAATAATTTATTTTATTTCGTTTTAAAAAATACATGCCTTAAAAATATTTTTAGGATTATAGGAAGTCGTAAGCCTGAAAAGTATGAAAAAGCGTTCATTGGTTTTTCTTTACCGCTTTATTTTATTTTAGTCTAAAATGCGACTTATTACGAAATAATGTTCTTATATAGCACGCGGTCTATCCAATAAACGACATGTAATGTAACGTGCTGCGAGATATAGCGTGCTGCAAACCTTAACGCGCTTGCCGGCCTCTTACACGCATTCTTATAAATAGCGCGCTATAACATAGCGTATTTAATAGCGCGCTAGAAATTTATAGTTTATAGTCTGTAGCGTGCTATTGATTTATAGTCGTTTTGAACAACTTTAGTTGAAGGTGTAGCTATTTTTGGCAGTCTATGCGAGTCTACTATACATAGTAGACGTCGACGAAGCATTTTTGCGATTTTAGAAGAAAACAGAAAGAAAGCCAATAAAAGATAATTGTTGGTCCCAAAGAACACCTCTTTCCACATACGTTTCCGCCATATACGTACGGAATTGCGATTTGGGATTTCGAACGCAGCAAGTCCATATAAAATCAATAACCCGTCACACACCTGCGGTAGTTTTCCGTACGGAATTTTACAAGCAAAACGGGATTGCGTATGTGTGTGGTCAAAACGTTCATCCTGTTTCGGAATTCCGAAAGGGAATTCCGTGTGTAGAGTGCGACGGGCCTTACTAATGAGCGAACGAGATTCGACGCGAATTTTTTACAGACGTAGAGGGCTAGCAAAACACTCGACATTTCTTGTTGGCGCCGACAAAAGTACGGTTTCGGATCAGATTGAACAGCTTCATATAAAATGTTCTACCACTAGATTTTATGTCGGGACCGACACCCGAAAAGTGAGAACGGGCTCTAAGACCGTGTTAAAGCAGGTGCCAAGTGCTCGGGTTCGTACTTCGATAGAATTAATGGAATTTGTTACTTTCTGGTTTAAGTTTGCTCGGTGGTGAAGTAAGACAGAGAAAAAAAGATATATAAAGCCTGTAAAGGTTAGACAGAAGTAGAAGACAGAGACGGCAGACATGTCTTTATTATAGAATGAGGGTGACAAAGGAGCAACTATCCTCGATTACGAATCAAAATGTAGATGCGTTGTCACCCTTGAGGACTAAGATGGAATGCCTCGTTTCCAGTAAAAAGGTCTCCGGTCCTCTACCCTCACCATACGAAACACAGCAACATTAAGTTGCTATTTTACGCTGGTATTCTGTGAGAGCGCGGTCCTTCCCCGTGTAGTAGCCCCCTCGATAAATATTATTGTCAAGGTAGAATAAGTGGGTGGTATAATTAAAGTACTAGACATAACAACATGTCCGCAGAGACGTAATGGGCGCGGGTTCGAATCTCGCACGCAACAAGTATTTGTATGTCCTTCACGTAATTGTTCAGGGTCTGGATGTTTGTCTAGTGATATTTATGTATGTAAACTGTCTTCACGGTACAAGAGAAAATCCGAGTGTGGGGTTCATGTTTTTTTTTTTTTAAATAAGTTCTCGGACATGCAAGTTTCGTCACGATGTTTACTTTCACTACCGAGCACGTGGTAAATCAGCACTTAAAGTTCTAACTAACAATTTCGTTGGAGATTGAACCCGGGTTGTTCGCGTACTGTGAAATTTACAACGAAAGTTGGGTAGGAATGTATTATTTTTATGATCCTCAAAAATTTATTGTTATTGTTTTTTAAATATCTCTTTTATTATTTTGCAGAGAACATGAATGGCAGCATGGGAACTTGGTGAGTATTTTTTAAAAATATAATTAAAGTAACTTATTCTGATTATAAAGCTCGCTTTTTACTATTCAATATAGTATATATTATATCCCGAAATTGGCTTTCACACTGTGAGATATATTTTTAACACGTGTGCGTTCGTCACTGGATCACGCAGGACGCGTCGTTTACAAACGAAATTGCATTTCAAATAATACGCAGGTGGTAAAATTAAAAAATTGTGCAATCGACTCCCAACATAATTAAAAAGTAAAACAACAATCAATTCAATTCGAATTATTAAGGATAATTCAAAAAGTACTTGTCTGATCTTGATTATTTTTTATGGGATCACTCTAGAAGTACCAGCTTTCAGATTAAAAAAAAATCATCAAAATCGGTTCACCCAGATAAAAGTCACAACGCATCTGCATTTTCATTCCTAGCTAAAGCCGGTTAAGCTTAAGGCGGATAAAGGTAGTTACGACTGTGTTCCGGTCTGAGGGGTATAAAGAGCCAGTAGTACAAGCTACAAGGCAATCCATCTTAGTCCTCAGAGATGACAACGCATCTGCATTTTCATTCCTAGCTAAAGCCGGTTAAGCTTAAGGCAATCGTAACTACCTTTATCCGTGTTCCGGTCTGAGGGGTATAAAGAGCCAGTAGTACAAGCTACAAGGCATTCCATCTTAGTCCTCAGAGATGACAACGCATCTGCATTTTCATTCCTAGCTAAAGCCGGTTAAGCTTAAGGCAATCGTAACTACCTTTATCCGTGTTCCGGTCTGAGGGGTATAAAGAGTCAGTAGTAAAAGCTACAATGCATTCCATCTTAGTCCTCAGAGATGACAACGCATCTACATTTTCATTCCTAGCTAAAGCCGGTTAAGCTTAAGGCAATCGTAACTACCTTTATCCGTGTTCCGGTCTGAGGGGTATAAAGAGCCAGTAGTACAAGCTACAATGCATTCCATCTTAGTCCTCAGAGATGACAACGCATCTGCATTTTCATTCCTAGCTAAAGCCGGTTAAGCTTAAGGCAATCGTAACTACCTTTATCCGTGTTCCGGTCTGAGGGGTATAAAGAGCCAGTAGTACAAGCTACAATGCATTCCATCTTAGTCCTCAGAGATGACAACGCATCTGCATTTTCATTCCTAGCTAAAGCCGGTTAAGCTTAAGGCAATCGTAACTACCTTTATCCGTGTTCCGGTCTGAGGGGTATATAGAGCCAGTAGTACAAGCTACAAGGCATTCCATCTTATTCCTCAGAGATGACAACGCATCTGCCTTTTCATTCCTAGCTAAAGCCGGTTAAGCTTAAGGCAATCGTAACTACCTTTATCCGTGTTCCGGTCTGAGGGGTATAAAGAGTCAGTAGTACAAGCTACAAGGCATTTCATCTTATTCCTCAGAGATGACAACGCATCTGCCTTTTCATTCCTAGCTAAAGCCGGTTAAGCTTAAGGCAATCGTAACTACCTTTATCCGTGTTCCGGTCTGAGGGGTATAAAGAGCCAGTAGTACAAGCTACAAGGCATTCCATCTTATTCCTCAGAGATGACAACGCATCTGCCTTTTCATTCCTAGCTAAAGCCGGTTAAGCTTAAGGCAATCGTAACTACCTTTATCCGTGTTCCGGTCTGAGGGGTATATAGAGCCAGTAGTACAAGCTACAAGGCATTCCATCTTATTCCTCAGAGATGACAACGCATCTGCCTTTTCATTCCTAGCTAAAGCCGGTTAAGCTTAAGGCAATCGTAACTACCTTTATCCGTGTTCCGGTCTGAGGGGTATAAAGAGTCAGTAGTACAAGCTACAAGGCATTCCATCTTATTCCTCAGAGATGACAACGCATCTGCCTTTTCATTCCTAGCTAAAGCCGGTTAAGCTTAAGGCAATCGTAACTACCTTTATCCGTGTTCCGGTCTGAGGGGTATAAAGAGCCAGTAGTACAAGCTACAAGGCATTCCATCTTATTCCTCAGAGATGACAACGCATCTGCCTTTTCATTCCTAGCTAAAGCCGGTTAAGCTTAAGGCAATCGTAACTACCTTTATCCGTGTTCCGGTCTGAGGGGTATAAAGAGCCAGTAGTGCAAGCTACAAGGCGTTCCATCTTAGTCCTCAGAGATGACAACGCATCTGCAGTTTGATTCGTAGTCGAGGATAGATAAAGATGTCTATGCAAGTATACCTAGCGGAACGAGAATCTAGCGGTGACCGTTATTGCGCATAATAGTGCGCAATATTGCGTGTGACTGGCTCTCCAGTCGCATTCCGTCCTCCGTACTGATACGACATTCGCTGCTATCCCCTCTACGTATCGTTCAGCGCTAGACTTCGTGCCGCGACTTATACCATCAAGTGGACTGTGTGCTCGTTTGTCACCCATATCCTATTAAAAAAATCGCAAACCAATTTACGTTATGTCGAATAATATCTAGAAATGGATTTAAAGAAACCGATGAACGAAGAAATTTCTGGAAATAACGTTAACACTCGCCGTGTAATGGCGATCTAAGACAATCCACTAGGTAACTCATATCATCTCATGGGCGTCATTAGAAGGCGACAGAGGGTGGCACTTCTTTGACAATTAAAAACTGTGACTGCCAACAACAACAAAAGTAATGGGAAGTGTTCTACGAGATAATCTATGGAGTATTTTTGTTGGTTTGTTATAAAAACATTAGGTTATATTTCGCCTTTTTGCCGCTGTCGAATACAGTTGTAAACTTATACTTCTGCTTATCCCCAGGATATATCTGCGGAGCGTGTAGTTGGGTGGGGAGGCTGCAAATCGGGCAACTGGTCGCGAGGCGAGTCGGACGACGAGTGGGCCGACACGCCGGCCGACATTGGATCATTTCTCACTACGAGGCTACGGGTCGATGGCGACAACAGCGCTGGTAATTTGACTTATTAATATCACGTGAGTGCGTGCAGGTGTGTGTCGGGGTGAGGGGAGGGGGGGGGGTTAGTCAAGTGTGTAATATTTGAATTAAATATTATCCGTTGCACCTTTCAGACGAGGAATCCGACGACAGCACGGCGGGCGGCTCCAGCTCGAACGCCACGAATTCGGCGTCCGCAGCTCCTGTGCCCACCGGGGAGCCCTACACGCTTATACGTGAGACACTTTGTGTTTTTCAACTGACTTCAAAAAAGGAGGTTCTCAATTCGACTGTATGTTATGTTTATGTGTGTGTTACCTCGGAACTTTTTTCTTGGTGAGCCGATTTTGAGGATTATTTCTTTATTTGAAAACTAGTGATGCTCATGTGATCCCATATAAATATGATCTAGATCTGATCAGTAGTTTTTGAGTTATCTTTAATAATGCGTATTATTTAATTGACTACAACTACATTGATGATGTTTTCATTTTATTTATATTGAAGTCAGTTGTAGAATTTTTTTTAATTTTATCGCTAGTTGAAGTGAGAACTTCTTTCCAATCGTTAGGATTTGAAACTCGAGAAAATGAAAAAGCTACACTAGAAAGGGACAAACAACAAATTTGTAGGATTTAGACCGCGAAAGAATGAGATAGAATACAGTATACAGTGATCCCTATTAAGTATCGATATTACATAGGGTGCACTAAAAGTATGGGAAATGGAATATTTCCACTGTTCCTGTCATATTAAAATCTTTTTAATTGAAAACTCCTTGGTTTTAAAAATCGAATACCATTTATTTATTTAAAAAAAAGATTCTCGGTCTTGTCACAAGGTTTTGTCAAACTTGTTTAGTCGTTGAGAAAATGGAATTGACTCGAGAAAATTCAAGAGAGATGATTTATTATGACTTTCGAAGTGGTTTAACACAAAAACAGTGTGTTGATCGGATGATTTCTGCATTTGGTGATGAAGCCCCATCCAAAACCACAATTTATCGCTGGTTCGCTGAATTTCAACGTGGACGTGTCAAGCTCAGTGATGATCCCCGTCAAGGTCGTCCATAAACTGCAGTCACCCAAGAAAACGTTGATGCTGTGCGTAAGCTGATTGAGGAAGATCGACATGTGACATACCGCGAAATTCAGGCAACTTTAGACATTGGCATGAGTCAAATACAAATAATCTTGCATGAACAATTAGGTGTAAAAAAGTTGTTTTCCCGATGGATACCGCATTCGATCTGTGAAGAGCAAAAAGTGGCTCGCGTTACTTGGTGCGTCAGAACTCTCGAAAGATTCCACGCAGGATCCTCAAATGCTGTATACAACATCGTATCAGGTGACGAATCCTGGATATACGCGTACGAACCCGAAACAAAAAACCAGTCACGAGTTTGGGTGTTCGAAAATAATAAAAGCCAACAAAATATGTTCGTTCACAGAGTGTTGCAAAAAAAATGGTGGCCACGTTTGTCTCCGAAACCGGCCATGTTACGACTACTCCTCTTGAGGAACAAAGAACGGTTAATGCAGAATGGTATGCTAGCATTTGTTTGCCACAGGTCGTTTCTGAACTCCGTAAAGAGAACTGCAACCGCCGCATCATCCTCCATCACGACAATGCGAGTTCTCACACCGCACACAGAACAAAAGAGTTTGTAGATCAAGAAAACATAGAATTATTAGACCATCCGCCGCATAGCCCCGACCTAAGCCCTAATGACTTCTATACTTTCCCTAAAATAAAGAATAAATTGCGTGGACAGAGATTTTCATCACCTGAAGAAGCTGTGAACGCTAATAAAACGGCCATTTTGGAGACCCCAACTTCCGAATGGAATGGTTGCTTCAATGATTGGTTCCATCGTATGGAAAAAGTGTCAAATTTCGCGGAGAATACTTCGAAAAGCAATAAATATATTTTTAAATAGTAATGTTCTGTCACTTCCTTGATTCCCGAAATTTTCAGTGCCGCCTCGTATGTTTGTAATCTATTAAACGGCGAATTTTTGTTAAATGAAAATTTATTGATTAGAAAGTACTTACGATGACGAAATTGAAAACTTGGAGTCTGTATAATATATAATGAAATAGGTAGAACAAAATGTAAATGAATAAACCTTGGACAATAAATGAACCGTAACTAATATGTAAAAAACAATTTTTGTTTGTATTTATTTATTATATCATTGGGTGCGTTTGGCAGAAAAAAGCGCTAGCAAGCGCTTGTAAGCAAAATGGTAAACGGTAAGCGCTGTCAAATCGTCAGTAGCTATTTTCCTTCGGGACACGATGTTAGTTTTAACCGGGGAATCTAACCTAATTTAAATATATGTTTGTAAAGTATTCATATTAAAAACTTACCAATCATGAATTTTTAATAACATGTATATGTCTATTCATGTCATTATATTACTTAAAACTAATATTGCACAAACAAACTTATAAACTCTACTTCAAAACAAACAAATTAAATAAGCAAAATGGCGGATTGTGTCAGCGCTACTGAAGTTAGCAAACGTGTCCTGGCCGAAAACTATTTTAGCACTTGTAAGCGCTTGCTAGCGCTTTTTTCTGCCAAACGCACCCATTCATCAGATTGCGGTTAAACTTTATCAACATATTACTTGCTTGGACCCGGTAGGTGGCGCTGTTGTAGAATCCAGAATTCGTGCGAAGCCGAGGCTGAGAGGTTTATAATTAATTAGTTATAGGCATCATCGTCTCATGGCTGTTAGACGGGAGATGAGGCTGCAATCGTCAACAGATTTGACAGCATACAGGCAACTGAACAGACAGATCTCCAAATGCATGCGGCGAGACTTACGCAACTTTAATACTGCTCGTATTAAAGAAGCGATCGAGCGGAACCAGGGCTCCAAAGTCTTTGCCAGAGATCTGTCTGCCAGAAAGAGCCAACTGTCAAGGCTGAAGACTGAGTGTGGCAGCATCGTTTCCGGGACACCTGAGATTTTGAGTGAGATTGAGAGGTTCTATGGGCAGCTGTACACATCATCGTTGGAGTCACACGCAAGTGTGAGTAACGATCCAAGAGCAAGTCTTATCCGACACTATTCCGATGATATCCCGGACGTCAGTCTAAGCGAGATTAGAATGGCTCTCCAGCACCTTAAAAACGGCAGGGCCCCAGGCGAGGATGGAATTACAGCGGAGCTTCTGAAAGCGGGTGGAACACCGGTACTTGAAGTCCTTCAGAAGCTCTTCAATTCCGTCCTCCATGGTGGCACTACTCCAGAGGCGTGGAGCAGAAGTGCGGTGGTCTTGTTCTTTAAGAAAGGCGACAACGCTCTCTTGAAGAACTACAGACCGATTTCCCTTCTGAGCCGCGTCTACGTGCTGTTTTCGAGAGTCATTACGAATCGTCTCGCACGCAGACTCGACGACTTCCAGCCTCCCGAACAAGCCGGTTTCCGAAAAGGCTTCAGTACCATAGACCACATACATACCCTGCGGCAGATTGTACAGAAGACTGAAGAGTACAATTTGCCACTTTGCCTGGCGTATGTGGACTATGAGAAAGCCTTTGATTCCGTCGAAATTTGGGCGGTGCTGCAGTCCCTTCAGCGGTGCCAAGTTGACTGTCGGTATATCGAAGTGCTGAAGTGTTTGTACAGTAGGGCTACGATGGCTATCCGAGTACAGAACCAGAGCTCGAAACCTATCCAACTGCAGAGAGGTGTAAGACAGGGTGACGTTATATCCCCGAAACTCTTCACCGCTGCTTTGGAAGACGTTTTCAAGCTACTGGACTGGAAAGGATACGGTATTAACATCAATGGCGAGTACATCACTCACCTTCGATTTGCCGACGATATAGTCCTTATGGCAGAATCGCTGGTGGACTTAAGCACTATGCTCAATGACCTCAATAGTGCCTCCCAACGGATAGGTCTTAAGATGAACATGGACAAAACAAAGATTATGTTTAATGTCCATGTCACACCTATGCCCGTAGTTGTTGGGAGCACTATGCTCGAAGTTGTTGACGAGTACGTTTACCTGGGACAAATAGTCCGACTAGGTAAGTCCAACTTCGACCGAGAGGTCAATCGACGGATTCAACTCGGCTGGGCAGCGTTCGGGAAATTACGACATATCTTCTCGTCAGGTATACCTCAATCTCTGAAAACTAAAGTGTACAACCAGTGCGTGTTGCCAGTGATGACTTACGGATCAGAGACGTGGTCCTTCACTGCTGGCCGTATGAGGACGCTCAAGGTCGCTCAGCGAGCTATGGAGAGGGCTATGCTCGGAGTTTCTCTGCGTGATAGACTCAGAAATGAGGATATCCGCAGTAAAACCAGATTGACCGACATAGCCCAACGGATTAGTAAGCTGAAGTGGCAATGGGCCGGCCATATAGCTCGAAGAACCGATAACCGATGGGGAAGAAAGGTTCTCGAGTGGCAGCCTCGTACCGGTAGGCGTAGTGTAGGGCGACCCCCCACTAGATGGAGTGACGACCTGGTAAGATATGCAGGAAGTCGATGGATGCAGGTGGCTCAGGACCGTGCTTTGTGGCATTACTTGGGGGAGGCCTATGTTCAGCAGTGGACTTGTGAAGGGCTGTGATGATGATGATGATGATGAGGCATAGTTGGACCCGGTAGGTGGCACTGTTGCAGAATCCAGATATCACCCTTGCGAAGCCGAGGCAGAGAGTTTTATAATTAATTAGTTATAGGCATAGTTGGACCCCGTAGGTGGCATTGTTGTAGAATCCAGATATCACCCTTGCGAAGCCGGGGCAGAGAGTTTTGTAATTAATTAGTTATAGGCATAGTTGGTCCCGGTAGGTGGCATTGTTGTAGAATCCAGATATCACCCGTGCGAAGCCGAGGCAGAGAGTTTTATAATTAATTAGTTATAGGCATAGTTGGACCCCGTAGGTGGCATTGTTGTAGAATCCAGATATCACCCTTGCGAAGCCGGGGCAGAGAGTTTTGTAATTAATTAGTTATAGGCATAGTTGGACCCGGTAGGTGGCACTGTTGCAGAATCCAGATATCACCCGTGCGAAGCCGAGGCAGAGAGTTTTATAATTAATTAATTATAGGCATAGTTGGACCCGGTAGGTGGCACTGTTGCAGAATCCAGATATCACCCGTGCGAAGCCGAGGCAGAGAGTTTTATAATTAATTAGTTATAGGCATAGTTGGACCCGGTAGGTGGCACTGTTGCAGAATCCAGATATCACCCGTGCGAAGCCGAGGCAGAGAGTTTTATAATTAATTAGTTATAGGCATAGTTGGACCCGGTAGGTGGCACTGTTGTAGAATCCGGATATCCCCCGTGCGAAGCCGAGGCAGAGAGTTTTATAATTAATTAGTTATAGGCATAGTTGGACCCGGTAGGTGGCACTGTTGTAGAATCCGGATATCCCCCGTGCGAAGCCGAGGCAGAGAATTTTATAATTAAGTAGTTATAGGCATAGTTGGACCCGGTAGGTGGCACTGTTGTAGAATCCGGATATCCCCCGTGCGAAGCCGAGGCAGAGAGTTTTATAATTAATTATTTATAGGCATAGTTGGACCCGGTAGGTGGCACTGTTGTAGAATCCGGATATCCCCCGTGCGAAGCCGAGGCAGAGAATTTTATAATTAATTAGTTATAGGCATAGTTGGACCCGGTAGGTGGCACTGTTGTAGAATGCGGATATCCCCCGTGCGAAGCCGAGGCTGAGAGGTTTATAATTAATTAGCCCTACAGTTATCCTACTCCTGATCCTCTGCATTCGTCTCATTCTCTCCAGTTTATTTTTCTGATGATTTCACTTCTACCGCTTGTGAACTGCACAATGTGTTTTTTTTATGCGGCTCATTGATGATCTCGTTGCGCATTGGCTAAACCTTTAGTTTAGTTTAGTTTACGATGGGCTGTTTTCCGCAACTCCACGTCTAAGCGCGTATTTTGCGTGTGGGCAGGAATAATATTATGGTTATTCGAGCCATGATATCTCCCCCGAAGAAGTACAGCAGTCCCTTGATGTTGCAAGCAAATTCGGGGGAGCGATCCCGGCGTGACGAGATGTTTAGCTCTATATGAAGCGACTTCTGGACATGTCAGCAACATGTGAGCCGCCGTTTCTTCCTCTCCCATGCCCTACACAGGGGGCTGTCAGTAACACCTATGGTGAACAAATGTTTGTTAAATGGGCCATGTCCTGTGATAGCACTTGTTACTATCCTAATCTGTGGCTTGTTCAGTCTCATTAGAATCTTGGTTAGACGACTGTTTATTTCACGTAGGGCCTCCGTAGCTTGTCTACAGTCTACTAATTTTTTTCAAAGCTGAGCGTGTAAATTATTGAAGTATCGACGTACCAGTGAACGAACGTAGCCAAAGGGGATTGGTATTATTGGTTCCGGCCCTATAGTTGCTAGGGCCGATCCCCTTCTGGACAGTTCATCCGCTGCATCGTTGCCTCTGATCCACTGTGTCCCTTGATCCATTGCATAGTCACATTGTTGTGCTTACATAACCTCATTCAATCGTTGATGGCACTCTTATATCAGTCCCGAGTTCGTCACATTGCATCTCAGAGGTTGTAGTACCGCCATACTGTCGGTCAGTATTCTGATGGAGAAGTCTTTCACCTTCCTAGCATCTATTGCTATGGCCGCTTGGATGATACCCATGCATTCAGCCTGGAAGACTGTGTTGTGGGTACCCAGCGGTGTGCATATGTGGATATTAAGGTCTTCAGAGAAAGCCCCAGACCCCACACCTTCATTTGTCTTAGAGCCATCCGTGAAAACTTTGAGCTCTCTTGGACCCAATCCTTCCAGATGGTCAGTTTCCTTCAATTGTATCCTATACTTCTTATCGAATACAAATTGTTTTGGGATCCTATCATACTTGGCTTCTAAGATAGGAATTTTTGAGTAAATTCTATCGATTATATCTGTATGGGGTCTCTACTCTTACTTAAAAGATTTAGGGTCTTGAGTCTAATGGCAGCTGAAGTTGCTTCTTGTTGTATATATAGATGAAGCAGTGTTAGCTCCAGCATAGCTTCCAAAGCTGCTGTTGGTGTTGTCCTTATGCAGCCCGTGGCAGCCATACAAGCTAATATCTGGTAACGCTGTAGCTTTTGTATAGTGATGGCTTCATTGGTTTTGGTCCACCATACCAGAGAGCCGTATGTGATCATGGGCCGAATTACAGTTTTGTACAGCCACAGTATAATTTTTGGCGTTAAACCCCATCGTTTGCCAATCATGTTTCTGCATTGCCAGAAAGTTAAACTAGCTTTGCTGATTTTGTTTTCTATGTGTTTGTTCCAGTTAAGTTTACTGTCCAAGGTAAGACCTAGGTATTTTACCTCGGAAGAAAGTTGGAGTTTTGTGCTGAAAAGACTTGGAAGATGATAGCTATTCAGCATTCGTTTTTGTGTGAACATTACTATAACCGTTTTATTTGGATTTACAGTTAGGTCATATTCCCTGCACCATCTCTCCACAATACGGAGAGCCGCTTGGGTCAGGTCGCACACAATGCTTGCTGTCTTACCAGAGACCAGTATTGTCAGATCATCTGCATAACCGACTGTGTAGAAATGGTTAGCGTTTAATTTGCTGATGAGGTCATTAATGACCATATTCCACAGGAGAGGTAAAAGAACCCCACCCTGCGGGCATCCTTTCATGATCTGAATTGTCTGAGATTCACCAGCAATCTTTATTGTTCGTGTACTGAGCATGTTTACTATCCAGTCAATCAGTGCCGGTTCAACATTATGTCTACTTAGGGCACCTTTTATGCTGGAGAAATTTGTTCTGTCAAAAGCACCTTCTATGTCTATGAAGGAGCCTAGACATATTGCTTTGTTTTGGATGGCCTCTTCAATCTTTGTTATTACCTGGTGAAGTGCCGATTCTGTTGATTTACCTAAGCTATAGGCGTGTTGTTTTTCGTGTAGTGGTAAGTTAATTAGCGCCGACCCTCTCAACTCCCGTTCACACATCCTCTCCATCGTCTTTAGGAGAAAGGATGTGAGGCTAATAGGTCTGTAGGATTTAGGGTTTGTATAGTTGTTCTTACCTGGTTTGGGTATGAACGTGACTTTCACTTCCCTCCATCCCCTAGGAACATATTTAAGAGCCAGACATGCTCTCATTATAGCAACAAGTCTGACTATTAGGACTTTGCCCCCCCCCCCCCACTGAAGAAGTGCCGGGAATAAGCCGTCAGGTCCTGCCGCCTTATAGGGTTGGAAACTATGAATGGCCCAATGGATTTTGTTCATCGTCACCACTCTTTGTGCTAATTCTCAGTCTTCTATTGTTGGTGTCAGTGCATCTTCATGCCAGTTCACCCTTTCAACTACACAGCAACCTGGGAAGTGAGTATCAATTAGGATGCGTTGGGTTTCATCCGGCGATGTTGAGTAGCTTCCGTCGGGTTTCTTTAAAGAGATAGATAGTGTTCTGTTTAGCTAGGATTTTCCTTATCCGATTTGCTTGTTCACAGGTTTCTATGCTACCACAGAATTTGCGCCACCCTGTTGAGCGTCGATACCTGATACATTTTTTATATTCAGACTTAGCTTTCTTATATAGAAGCCAGTCTTCATCCTTTGAGGTATTCATTGCCCTATTTAGGGCTTTTCTTACCTTCTTACGTTTCCTATCTAGTTCTTTACCCCACCACTGTTGCTTTTGCTCAGCATGTTTTGGTGGAGTGATTACTGGACATGATTCATGGTAGCTATCGATCATGGCTTTAGTTACAGCTGCTACCTGTTCTTCTAGGAGCGATTGATCTGCTGTGGTATTAGTTCCCCCAACACCCGCGAGCGAAGACGTCAGCCTATTGAGGTATTTTGCTTTATCCGTCTTGCGGGGATTTCTCCATGGTAGTATAGCGGGGATATCGACCTGTAGTACGCAGCAGATCCATCTGTGGTCTGAGCATGAGGCCTCTTTCGACACATGCCATCCCGTTATTAGCTTAGCTGCTCCTTCTGTTGCAAGTGTGAGGTCGATTATTGTGTGACAGCGTTTATTTATGAAGGTTGGTTCAGAACCAGTGTTTAATATGGTTAGGTTAGTGCTAAATAAATATTCAACTAAAACCTTACCTCGTTCATTAGGTTTTTCCATTCCCTAAAGGGGATGATGCGCGTTGGAGTCCGTCCCGATCACAACCTCTAGTCCGGCCCTCTCACAGAAATTCACCAGCCCGACGAGGTCGTGAGGGGGGGGGGGGTCTTCCTCAGGCATGTAGACCGAGGCGATGACTAACCTTTCCTCCTGAGTGTTTTGTAATGCTACGGCATACATGTCCTGGAACAGAAATCTGTTAGTGGTTTGGCTAAACCTTTCGCTGCAGCCGCGAGTTTGAATCCCACGCGGAACGAGTATTTGTTTGGCTTGCAAATTTATTCCGGGACTGAATGTTTGTCCATGTGTAATTAATGTATACATATTAAAAGATTCCACGATATAGAATAATATCGTAATCTATGGGTAACGTGTTGAAAATAAATAATATTAAATATTATTATAGAATCTATCGCTTGAGTAATAAGGTGTGTTTTTGTCTAGCGGGCGTTGGTCCAAAGTCGTCGCAGGTTGACCCTCGCTTCACGGACGTGGTGAAACTGAACGACTACCTCCAGCACGGCAGGCGACCGCAGTTCTGGGAGGAGAATTACGTCAAACGGGTGAGGATAAGGAATCACGCACAAGGATACGAAACGCAAACATCTCTCCCTTTCTCCAATGACACAATCTCTGTCTCTCCCTCTCTTTCTTTTCTTTTTCCTTCTCTCTTTTTCTTTTCTCTCTCCCTCCCTCTTCTGCATTTCGTAACTAACAGCGTACTGTTGAATTTGAACATCTACCACTGTGAGAACGATTTGCCGTATTCAGAGCATGTATTTTACGTGGTAGAGCCATGATGCAGTTATATTAGTAGTATAGTTTTAGCAAGAATGGGTCGGCTCGACCGGGGAAGAACCACGCTCTCACAGAATACCAGCGTAAAATAGCAGCTTAATGCTGCTGTGTTTCGTATGGCGAGTGTGGAGGACCGGAGACCCTTTTTTCTGGAACGAGGTATTCCATATTCATTATCCTCAGGGGTAACATCGCATCTGCATTTTGATTCGTGCTCGAGGATAGATGTCTATGGGTCACAGCAAGTTACTACCATGGTGGATTCTGTGCTCGTTTGTCACCTTTATCCTACCTATATTTTAAAAAAAAATGTATTCGGAACAAAGGTCGCACACCCAACGGGTGTGAGTATTTACATGTGGTTTATATATAAGATTGTTGTACCATCACTTATGTGAGACCATGAGGTGTTTCTAGCAAAATTAATAAAAGTAAGAGAACCATCAACTCCATATCATCCTTTGGGTATCGTTAGAGGCGACAGAGGGAATCAAATCAGGAGCTTCTACAATACAAGAACACGCTCCAGCATTGCACGGACACGGTCAATAACTTTTTAGAAATATTTTGACCCATTTTCCAACCGTAATATAAATTTTATTTATCCTTTTTATTGTAATCTAATCGACTGGTAGTTAATTTAATACATATTGAATATTTTAAGCAGAGATTTAGTAACTTTTACAAATTTTTAAGGGCGATATTAAGTTTACTATAAATACTTAACGTGCGAAATTATTGTACCTATTTTAACTTTGTTTATTAATGCAGTTCAATTATATAAAAAAATTACTTTTAAGATATTTTTAAATGACTACACAGAAAAACAAAACACAATCGAGGCAATCATGGAAAATCAGTTAAAATTTGCTAGGTTGTAATAAATTAATGATTAATTTAATAATAACGTTTAAATAATTTATATTGCAACACTGGTTTAAGAAAAAACCAATTGTGGTAATTGTGATAATTTATTTTAGATTTTATTATTATTGTACATAATTTAATGAGTGCACAGAATGAAGCAATTGCCTACTTTAGCTTTCACCTACTCCCAATGATACATAATCACCAGGTCATTTATACCTTTCCAGGTGATGGAGGCGGTGCGCCTCAAGGAGTTGGAGATGAAGCAAGCGGCGGAGATCCTGGGCGTCAGCTACGGGACGCTGTACGGCCGCTACCGGGACGTGTACGGCTGCATCAACAGGCCATACCGGTATACACCTGCATTACACCTGGAGACCAGTCCTAGAAGGCACGTACCATTCTGGGACCTGGATTGTATTGAAGTGTGAAGGAGTTACATTCTGACTACGAACTACGACTTATTATTAACATTACACCCCGTCAAAAGTTCACTACTGAGCATGGCCTCACCTCCCCCATGGACTGCCTCGTATGGCTAGTGGTGGGGGGAGGTATTTACCATAGCTACCACGCTTGGCACGCGACGTGGTTTCCGCAGTTTTTTATTATTTAGCTGTTATTAGGAAGATACCTCTGTCTGAGCCTCGCTTCCCGTGCAATTATGCCCGATTCACATTATTCCAGTAGCAGAGTAGGGCACGCTGCAGCTATAATAGTTGTAGCACGAATGGGTCGGCTCGACCAGGAAAGGACCATGCTCTCACAGAATACCAGCGTAATGCTGTTGTGACCGGAGACCCTCTTTACTGGAAACGAGGCATTCCACCGTTGTTCTCAGCGGTGACAACGTATCTGCATTTTGATTCTTAATCGAAGATAGATTTCTATGGGCCACAGCATCCACTTATCACCAGGTTTTCTGTATGCTTTTGTCACGCCCATTCTATAAAAAAGCATGCCAGGCCATCGATCGAAACCAGTGTTAGAATTACACTGGAGTAATGTGTGTGAGCAGTCCTGTCCAGTGACTGATTTGATTACTTTTCATTCCAGCCCCACTGGTGTAGTGTAGGCAGACGGCCAATTATTTGCATATTGGTTTTAATTTTTTCACTATCGCGTTTGCCTTTTTTTATGAAATATCTATAATTCTCAAAAACTGACAACGTTACATCTTAATATCAAAAGGGTTCCATATTATGTGGTTTTTAGGCATTAAACCAACATATCATATTATAAAAACATCGAGCATTTAACCTGAAATAGAGCGGTATTGTTATTTGTTTTGTAAGAAAACAAATTCCGCCAAAACGCTGCGCCGGTCGCTGCGCTCTGATTGGCCGATTCAAGCACTAGTAAACACGTAATAAATAAAATGAGATGGCTTATATTGGTTACACCTAGGTAAGAGCAAGACGCATAGACAAGCGTCCAAGTGATTCATACTATGGCCAGTTTAACTTGAGCCGTATTATATGGATGTAAATTGAAACAAAATCAAAGTTTATTGATACTTACCGATGAAACGTGATTCCGTATGTTTTATAATTCGATGTCTTGCTGTTTTTTCCACACCACCGAATAGAACAACACGACATTATGGGGTTTAATATACCAAACTGAATATTTTCAGGAGTATCGGGGGGACGTACACACAGATCACATGTTGGTGAGGTACTGTTTTAGGGCGAGCGTGAATTGCCATTTATCAGTGACAAATCACTGATCAGTTTCGGAATTGGATGGCTCACATTACTACTCTATTCAGGTTAAATGCTCGATGTATAAAAAGAACATGAGTCATTTTACTAAACTACTCAGTTACAGATTAAATTGCAGCCAACCAAAAATCCGGCGCTAAGCATTGATTGCTTCATATTTGCCATAGTTGCCACGTTTGGCAGGTGGTGGCCCGTCTCCTAGTTTGTTTTCCCCTGTCTCTAACGACACCCACGGTACGATATGGAGCAGTGCATATTCTTCACCGCCACTTTAAGGATACCAATATGATCACTTACCACTCGTGAATAATTTATGTAATGTATGACTTGCAGTACTGCGCGGGATTTCTGGCAAGCGAAAGGTCCTTCGGAAGTGCTGGAGCGCCTTCAGCGCGGCGAGCTGACGCTGGAGGCGGCCTCGCTGGCGCTGGGCGTCAGTCCTGCCAACCTCGCGGCCTATGTCGCTGACCTCGCCGAAAGTAAAGGTAACCGATTACGTTTACCAATCATCATCATCATCATCATTACAGCCCTTCACAAGTCCACTGCTGAACATAGGCCTCCCCCAAGTAATGCCACAAAGCACGGTCCTGAGCCACCTGCATCCATCGACTTCCTGCATGTCTTACCAGGTCGTCACTCCATCTAGTGGGGGGTCGCCCTACACTACGCCTACCGGTACGAGGCTGCCACTCGAGAACCTTTCTTCCCCATCGGTTATCGGTTCTTCGAGCTATATGGCCGGCCCATTGCCACTTCAGCTTACTAATCCGTTGGGCTATGTCGGTCACTCTGGTTTTACTGCGGATATCCTCATTTCTGAGTCTATCACGCAGAGAAACTCCGAGCATAGCCCTCTCCATAGCTCGCTGAGTGACCTTAAGCGTCCTCATACGGCCAGCAGTGAAGGACCACGTCTCAGATCCGTAAGTCATCACTGGCAACACGCACTGGTTGTACAATCTAGTTTTTAGAGATTGAGGTATACCTGACGAAAAGATATGCCGTAATTTCCCGAACGCTGCCCAGCCGAGTTGAATCCGTCGATTGACCTCTCGGTCGAAGTTGGACTTACCTAGTCGGACTATTTGTCCCAGGTAAACGTATTCGTCAACAACTTCGAGCATAGTGCTCCCAACAACTACCGGCATAGGTGTAACATGGACATTGAACATGATCTTTGTTTTGTCCATGTTCATATTAAGACCTATCCGTTGGGAGGCACTATTGAGGTCATTGAGCATAGTGCTTAAGTCCTCCAGCGATTCTGCCATAAGGACTATATCGTCGGCAAATCGAAGGTCAGTGATGTACTCGCCATTGATGTCAATACCGTATCCTTTCCAGTCCAGTAGCTTGAAAACGTCTTCCAATGCAGCGGTGAAGAGTTTCGGGGGATATAACGTCACCCTGCCTTACACCTCTCTGCAGTTGGATAGGTTTCGAGCTCTGGTTCTGTACTCGGATAGCCATCGTAGCCCTACTGTACAAACACTTCAGCACTTCGATATACCGACAGTCAACTTGGCACCGCTGAAGGGACTGTAGCACCGCCCAAATTTCGACGGAATCAAAGGCTTTCTCATAGTCCACATACGCCAGGCAAAGTTTACCAATAGGATATCACATTTGTAATGTTAAAATAACAACTTATTACTAAATGCGTATGAAAGTATATACGGTACTAATAACAAAAAACAACTCTTAAAAATTTTGTCCATCTGTTTGTTTGTTCCGGCTAATCTCCGAAACGACTGGACAGATTTTGACGGGACTTTCACTGGCATTCATGACTGGTTCCGCGCAAAAATTTAAATCCATGAAATCCAATCTTAATCAATTCCACGCGGACGAAGTCGCGGGGAACAGTCCGTCAAATAATATGATTCGTAACAGTAAAAACTGCCGATTCAATTACCAAAATTGACACTTTAATAACACCAATTACAACATAAAACACAATTGTACTAATGATCACTTTAGTTCTTAGTTATATCGCTTCGAAGTATTCGCTTGTATAGCCAATTCAATACTGCCTAGGTCGCGATACTTACATTGCAGCTTTATTGTTGTAGTACAAATGGCTGGGCTCGACCAGGGAGAGACCACGCTCTCACACAATACTTGAAATAGCAGCTCAATACTGCTGTGTTTCGTATGGTGAGTGTAGAGGTCCGGAGACCCTTTTGTACTGGTCATGTGGTATTCCATCTTAGTCGTCAGGGGTAACGACGCATCTGCATTTTGATTCTTAATCTAAGATAAATGTAAATGTCCATAGGCCACACTGTCCACTTACTATCAGGTGGACTGCGTGCTCGGTTGTCACCCTTATTCAAAAAGAAACATTCCTATTATATATACTATTATTCCTGATATTTTCGGAGTTCGGGAAACGAATATCAAACTCGGCTTTCTTAAAATTTTGAAAATTACAACCGTTAAGTGCAAGCGAGAGCGGCAATATCATCGTCGCCGTTCACACGTTTTTAAAAAGTATAAATATTACTATAGACGTTTTTTGGCGTCTATTATAGTATTCTGTTCATACCGCATTATTATTCGCAACATAGCATAGTGTTGGGATCAGCGCTAAAGTCAAAATGCCAGCCCTTACGCCCTCCATTATAAAAGTATCATCACTCTGTCTGTACTATTTAATTTAAACTTATTGCGTTGTTGGTCTAGTGATCGCGATTGTTGATCAGCTAGGAATCAGAAAGTTGACGGTGTTTTCTCGCCCCCGTGATTCGGAAAGTACGTAAAGCCTTTGATCCTGCGCCTGATCTCTCTCCGCTCGTGTCGGATTGTGCGCAGTTGGCTATGAATGGTTTCCGATGAGACTGGCCACCGTGACCATCGCTCTGGACGTCATTATTATTATTATTATTAGAAACAAACTTTTTATTCAATATACATTATAAACAATACTTATTGAAAGTCACTTTTTTTAATTTACCACTGGTTCGCAAAAAAACCTCTGTCCTGAGAAGATCCAGCAAGAAACCCAGCGGAACCATTTTTTTTATAACAGCTTACAATCATGTATGTTTACAATTAACAACACAAAACAAATTAGAAATAGCTTGGTAGCCGTCGCCCTTCCCATGGGTTATTATCATCCATTAATTCCTAGATATAATAATAACCGTTTTTATACAAACTTTGTTTGATAAAGTTTTTGAACTTTGTGCAAGTCAAATTTTGTATATTTTCTGGTATTTTGTTGTAAAAGCATATACTTCGCCTCTAAGAATGAATTACTCGGATTAATACCTGAACAAAGCAATTTATTGTATTTTATGTATGTGAGCGTCGTGCGTGCGTCGTGCGTGCGTGTCTCGCTGCTCGCCTGTCTTGTGTGTGTGTGTGTGTGTTAATTGGGGACGAACAACAAATAATAATTTAATTCAATCACTACAGAGTTCGAGCCGATACCGATAGAGATCGACCCGTCGTTGAAAATGCGTCCACGTACGTTCAGCGGCGGGGCCGCGGCACCGAAACCTGTTAGGAAACCTGTACCACAACCTCACGAAAAGGTAAGTCAAAAAAAGTCAAATGTCCTATGGTTCCTATATTTTATTATTTGTCCTAAATTCTTTCTTCGTCTCTATATATATAAACATCAATTATTGTCCGTTAGTCTCGCAAACGAAAGCAAAAGGGGAAATCACCCTCGAACCGCAGTTTAAAAAATATTATAGTGACTAATTAGTACACCTGCAGCTAACTTCTACGTAAGTTGAAATGGCTCTCACCCTATAAATGTACTGGATCTCCATACCCTCCAAACCGGGACACAGAAGAGCACGCACTGATGTTTTTAATACATGAATAGGTAATATGGTTGTATTCGTACCTTCCAAGACGGACCCTAATGCCGGCTATACATGTCGGCCGAGCAAAGGCGAGTACTAACGTGTCTACGCTTCGTTTGGCGTGCCTTGCCGCCACTCGGGATCGCTTGCCACGACTCGTCTCACTTTGAAACAGTGTCGATTTTTCTGCACAAATCAAATGCGCTCGTCTGCACTCGGCAATTCGTGTCCACATGTATGTTGGCCGTGTCAATATGTTCACTCGTTCAAACTTAGCCAACATGTAGACTGTAGAACTCGCTTTGTATCAATTTACCTAAGCTCGCGTTGGCTGAGGCTTAGCAAACATGTAGACTGTAGCACTCGTATTGTATCAATTTGCCTAAGCTCGCGTTGGCTGAGGCTTGGCCAACATGTAGACTGTAGCACTCCCATTGTATCAATTTGCCTAAGCTCGCGTTGGCTGAGGCTTGGACAACATGTAGACTGTAGAACTCGCTTTGTATCAATTTACCTAAGCTCTATTTGGCTGAGGCTTGGCCAACATGTAGACTGTAGAACTCGCGTTTTATCAATTTACCTAAGCTCGTTTTGGCTGAGGCTTGGCCAACATGTAGACTGTAGAACTCGCGTTTTATCAATTTACCTAAGCTCGCTTTGGCTGAGGCTTGGCCAACATGTAGACTGTAGAACTCGCGTTTTATCAATTTACCTAAGCTCGCGTTGGTCGAGGCTTGGCCAACATGTAGACTGTAGAACTCGCGTTTTATCAATTTACCTAAGCTCGCGTTGGTTGAGGCTTGGCCAACATGTAGACTGTAGAACTCGCGTTTTATCAATTTACCTAAGCTCGCTTTGGCTGAGGCTTGACCAACATGTAGACTGTAGAACTCGCGTTGTATCAATTTACCTAAGCTCGCTTTGGTCGAGGCTTGGCCAACATGTAGACTGTAGAACTCGCGTTTTATCAATTTACCTAAGCTCGCGTTGGCTGAGGCTTGGCCAACATGTAGACTGTAGAACTCGCGTTTTATCAATTTACCTAAGCTCGCTTTGGCCGAGGCTTGGCCAACATGTAGACTGTAGAACTCGCGTTGTATCAATTTACCTAAGCTTGCGTTGGTCGAGGCTTGGCCAACATGTAGACTGTAGAACTCGCGTTTTATCAATTTACCTAAGCTCGCTTTGGCTGAGGCTTGGCCAACATGTAGACTGTAGAACTCGCGTTTTATCAATTTACCTAAGCTCGCGTTGGTTGAGGCTTGGCCAACATGTAGACTGTAGAACTCGCGTTTTATCAATTTACCTAAGCTCGCGTTGGTCGAGGCTTGGCCAACATGTAGACTGTAGAACTCGCGTTTTATCAATTTACCTAAGCTCGTTTTGGCTGAGGCTTGGCCAACATGTAGACTGTAGAACTCGCGTTTTATCAATTTATCTAAGCTCGCGTTGGCCGAGGCTTGGCCAACATGTAGACTGTAGAACTCGTGTTTTATCAATTTACCTAAGCTTGCGTTTTGGCTGAGGCTTGGCCAACATGTAGACTGTAGAACTCGCGTTTTATCAATTTACCTAAGCTCGCTTTGGCCGAGGCTTGGCCAACATGTAGACTGTAGAACTCGCGTTTTATCAATTTACCTAAGCTCGCTTTGGCTGAGGCTTGACCAACATGTAGACTGTAGAACTCGTGTTTTATCAATTTACCTAAGCTCGCGTTGGCTGAAGCTTGGTCAACATGTATTGCCGGCTTTAGATGGAAATAAAGTCCTACCACCTCTAAGTATACCGCTGTCGTTACCGTTAGAGCGTACTGAAGTCCACAGCTGAACATAGGCCTCCCACATAGACAGTCTCATGGGACAGATATTTGGCATAGTTGCCACGTTTGGCAAGCGGGTTGGCGACCTCGGTTTTTATTTTCAGTCGTTATTAGGAAGACGCTGCTGCCCATACCCTGACTTGTTTCTCTCTGTCACCTCCTACGACACCCACGGGATGATATGGGATAGTGGATATTCTTACACCGCCACCACATGGTCTGACATGTATACACCCCTATATTAAAGCATGGAATTTTGAGTTTTAACGTATTGCTCAATTTACAGTCATCTACCCTCACACTATTATGTTATTTTCTTTTTTTTTAATTACGCCCATCTAAATATTTAAGAATTGTAATCCTCTCACGTTTGTGAAACGAGCACGCAGTCCATGTGATGGTAAGTGGATGCTGTAGCTCATATACATCTATATTTATCTTCAGTTAAGAAACAAAATTCATACGCGTTGTCACCCTGAGATCTAAAATGAAATGCCTCGTTTCCAATGAAAAAGCTCTTCAGTTTTCTACACTCACCATGCAAGACACAGCAGTATTATGCTGCTATTTTACGCTTGTATTTCCCGGTTGAGCCGACCACTACTTACAAAATCTTTTAATTACGAATATCGTAAACCGCATAATTTTCAGTCATAACTTTTGTTTCAGACAAAAAAGGTGTTGATAGGCAGTATGACGGACGAGGACCCGATCCCAGCCACGGTGATCACCACCCACGATACAAAGAACCAGTTCAGTGCCTCGCAATCGGTTGCTGCCAGTAAGTACACCTTTGAGGTCACCGTAATCATAACCTCTGGGTTGTCATGTCAATTCACGGAAATACGCCCACGGAAATAGGGAAGAGGCCCAGCGGTAGCTCTTTATGGGCAGATGAAGCAGTAGAATGAGAATACATTCGTGCAATACATTTCTTTATAAAATAGTGGTGACAAATGAGCACACAGTCCACCTGATGGTAAGTGGATGCTGTGGCCCGTAGACATCTACATTTATTCTCGATTACGAAGCAAAAGGCAGATGCGTTGTCACACCTGAGGACTAAGATGGAATGCCTCGTTTCCAGTAAAAAAAAGTTCTCCGGATCTCTACACTCACCACACGAAACACATCAGTATTAAGCTGCTATTTTACGCTAGTGTTCTGTGAGAGCGTGTCCTTCCGCGGTCGAGCGGACTCACTCGTGCTACAACCATAATATAGCTGCAGCGTGGCTCTACCACGTATAATGGAAAGGGGCTGATAGATTTTCTTAGTACAATATACCATTTGAATATAATGTATTATAGATTTTATTAATACATCACCACTTTTCGTCTTGTGGGTGCCGTACGGGATATCTTGTTCTTGATCACCTGTATCTTGTTAATGGAACTGTTCAGACGACATCAAGAGATTGTGATATCCCTTAGTTCCTTAGTCCCTTATATATCCCTTAGTCCATACAAAAATTAACTTTAACGTATAAGCCACCTGCTAAGGCATATTGTGTAGAAAACTTCAGTCACATCTTCAGAACGTGAAATTATTTTTAAGTATTTAAAGTCACAAACAGCTATGATTTATAAAAGTTCATAACTGTGTATTTGCAAACTCGTTTATTAATAAAGACAGGACGCTTGTCAATTTAACTACATCAATTTTTTTTAAATAAAATAGGAGTGGCAAACTGGCACACAAACCACCTGATGGTAAATGGATGCTGTGGCCCATAGACATCCCACATCTATTAATATATTATCGCTTAAGATCCAAAATGCAGATGAGTTGTCACCCCTGAGTACAAAGGTGGAATGCTTCGTTTTAAATAAAGACGGTCTCCGGTTCTCTACATTCGCTATACGAAACACAGCAGCATTATTTGGCCGTTTTATGCTGTTATTCTGTAAAAGTGTATGCCATATAAAAATATAATATTAATATGATAATAAAATACTAAAATAAAATAAGTTAATTTATTAAAAGCTTTTTAACAACAAAAAAATTTTATTTTTGCGTAGAAAAATTGCCACTTAAAAGCCACTGTGAACAACGAATGGGAGACTAATTACAAGGTTTAGTTTTTTAGTTGTTCGCATTTATCTTGATTAAATGTAAAGTTGAAATATAGAGTTGAGTTGTAAACTAAAGGATTCAATAATTTCGTTTATCGATATAAAGACATACGATACGCCGATATAATTCATGTTTTATGGCATCCCTAAAAAGAGGCGACAATGTGAAATGTCCGAAAGATCTTGAGTGGCCTCCAAAAGATGGCGTTGTAATTTACTGGCAATAAATAGTAATGGTAAATATCCAAGATACCTGGTGTTGTAACTATCTGTTAGCTAAACATTTTGAATTGTATTAGAACACTAACCCCGGCTTTTTTTTATTGGCAAGTAACGTACCGATTTTAGGCCTAACATTAGCATTGTTGTACTCAATAACAAGTCCATAGTTCTCCTCCACAAATTGCTTAAAGTGGCCATATAGCAAAGAGCTGATAACCCATGGGATATATTTTTTTTATAGAATAAGGGTGACAAACGAGCACATAGTCCACTGGATTATAAGTGGATTCTGTGGCTATCTACAGAGCATAGATATCTACATCCATCCGTGAACCCCTCAGTCCCCTTAAAATGCCCATGCAGTCGCGTTCATCAAATGCCGAGCGGTCGCATGCGACCGCACCCACCCACAGCTCTTTAAACCATTAAAACTTATATTTAGAGACTACTTTTCTATGAAGAAGTTTGGCATTATAAAATCTATACAAAATTTTCTGTTAAAAGTCAGGTTTTACTTCATTACAAAAAAAAACTATTGTATTTTGATAACAAAAACAAAACATACTAAGCGAATGTCGGCAGCGTGAAAATCACAATTATTTCAATATATATATATAAAAAGATAAATTATATTCACACAAAAACTCATTACAATTTTATAATAAAACACTATACTAAAACACACACACAACACATTCACACGAAAATGGCGTACAAAATGAACGTAGATTATAAATAAATATCCATAGTATAACTATTTTTTATTGCACTAGAGTATAGAAAATTTCATATTAATTCTATAATGCCAAACTTCTTCATGGAAAAGTAGTCTCTAAATATAAGTTTTAATGGTTTAAAGTACTGTGGCTGTGCGCGGTTGAATCCGACCGCTTGAATTCAGACGGAATAGCACCGCGGTTGATTTCGACCGCTTAGAGCTGGAAGGTTTAATAACCAAAATGGAGATGCGTTATCACCCATGAGGACTAAGGTGGAATGCCTCGTTTCCAGAAAAAAGGTCTCCGATACTTTACACTCATCATACGAAACACAGCGGCATTGATCTGCAATTTTATGTTAGTATTCTATAAGATCGTGGTCTTGCCCCGGTCGAGCCGACTCACTCGTGCTATTGCCGAAGTATAGCTACAGCGTGGCTCTACCACGTTATAAATGGGGTTGGGGAAAGAAAGGTTATCTAGCGGCTTCGCGCTGGGAAGCGCAGTGTAACACCATAAATATGTAAATATAAATTGTATAATTGCAGGTGGCAAATGGCCCAGTATTCGCGTGGCGTCACTTGAGTCGCTCCGGGACGCGTCTGGGTCGAGTTCCGGTTCGGTGTCGGGCATTGGTCCGGTGCCGGGCTCCGGTTAAGTTGCAGGATCCGGTCCGGTTCCGGGATCAGATCCGGTGCCGTCGCCCTCTGCCCTCATGCGTACACGGCCAGACCTCACCATAGTGGCCGCGCGGCGAGACCGGAAGGAAGACGACGCCTGATTGCAAGTTTGGAGCAACATTGCGTCAATACACTACTCTAGCAGCTACGTCCTAGCTCAACTGTTTCCACTGGTTTAAGCCACTGTTGAAGCACGCAACTCGTGTTTTGCAGCAAATTGCGCCCACACAGACTCACGTGAATTTCATCATTACTCAAACTTCTTCCACTGGTTTAAGCTTATTTTGAAGTGCACAGCTCGTGTCCTATCGCTTGGTGCTCCAATATTGTGTTCTCACGTAACTTAAAAAAAGCCTTATTGTAACTAACATTTTTGCTTAGTTTTCAACGATGCAGAATGTATTTTAATCTGTCGGAGTAACATTGCTCCCACCAATGTTTTCTTTTGATTCTAACTCTAGTATCATCGAATCGAAATTCAGTTTTGAAATAAGTAGCTCGACTTGCGATCAAAATTATCTGATGTAATTCCAAGCTACCCTCAAAGCTGTAAGAGAGAAGAGCCTGCGCCATATTGTGAACTCCAAGCTGTCAATTCAAACTATCGCTTATCACTGTCTGAGTAGTCATCATCGTCGTCATTTATTGTTCTATCACGACGATTACCGATCATATGGTCTCGAATTCGCATCCCGGATCGGGACAGAATTAGTTTCTGTGTTTTTCTGTTAAAAAAATGTAAGTAGAAGCTCAGAAATCATGATTTTAGCGGTATTTCACCCCAATGCTTCCAAAAGCACGTAAAGCCGTTGGTCCTGCGCCTGATCTTTCTCTGGTCATGTCGATTTACCGTCCCGTCGGACTGTGAGATTGAGGGCGTAGAGAGTGCACCTGAGCTTGCGCATACACTTGTGCACTGTAATTCTGTCCTGCGCCAATGGCTGGTCTACATTGAGATTGGGTTGATATTATTTATTCCATAATGAGTCTTTAAAATTAATTAAAAAATATATGACTTCAATAGTTTTAGTGATACTAAGTGTCAGTTAAATAAAGTAGACAAACAAATGTTATCAATACGCAAATAATTTTTCTTTGCAAACCGTACTTTTCAAGTGACAGTTCACAGATCAACGTCATTGAAGTTCCTATTCGTTTGAATCATATTGTATGACCCAATTTAATCACGCAGGTGACGTGAGAGGCAACTATAGTATTTGGCAGAAAGATATTACGGCTTCCGCCAGATGGCGGTATAACTGGGCGTAAAATACCTACGCGTGACGAGTGAGGAAAAATCCTCCATTTAATGAGCTGACGATTCGGAAAAACTCTCCAGAAGTTAGGATGATGGTGAAGATCTTAACGTCTTCGACTGTTATCCTCTAAGAATTTTTATATAATTGTGGAGTTTCGGCGGAAACTTCAACGCCGACGGATTGCGCCTGAATTATCGCTTTGATAATGTTTTCAAGTAGATTATGATACGAAAAATGTTGCGATTTTGTGTATTAAATTTTTCCGCATGTCCACTAAAAAGTGTTAAAGTGCTGCGACGGCGAATATCGACATGTAAATCGCAAGTTTTTATCCGTGTACACGCCTTAAGATGCTATCGTCATGAACTGTCCGCTATCATCAAAATCTCCTAAAAACTTCGCAATGCGACGCGTTATCATATTGTAAAGAGTTTTGCGAATAAAATATAGATCAGACTAAGTCCATATATCCATGGTCACTGGTCATGTAGGAAATTTGAAAAGATCTATAAAATATTCAATTTGGACGGATCGTAAATAATTTATAGAAATGTTCCGTTTTGACAGATCGTAAAGATATTACAATTGACCAGTGTTAACTTGACGACTTAATTGTGAGACGTCAAAGTAATTTGGGATGTTTAAGCTTGGTAAATTAATGTTTCCCTGAACTCGACACATAATGAATATATTTCTAGGTTACTTCTATTGTAAATATGTATAACAGACCAAATTATTTAATAAATAGGTATTGAACACTTTATTCGGTGAACTTGTTGCAACCGAATGCCAAAATGGTCATAGGTTTAAGAACTTTACCGAATGAAGTTGAATAGATTAACTATATCAATTATATATTTTTACTTCTATAACTTAGTAAAAATAATCATGTCACACGACTGACGTATTTGTATGTGTAAAAAATGAACTATAAATGTAAATGCATAAATTTATAACAATAAATGTGTAATATATGTTATTCCATTGATTTCAATAAAGAGAATATTTTAGTATAATCAAAGTATATAAATAGGCATTAAATGTTTTATTTATCGAAATAAAATAGTTTAGTTTGTATGCATATTCATTTACTATTTTTTTTAGTATATTTAGACATCATGTGAAATCTACAAGAACCGTCGCTTAGTTAGGTTTAAGGTAAGTAAATGAATCTAGAATATATGAAATGAAATATATTTATATGTTCACTTGTTCCTCTGACGTCATACTTTATAGAGCGTAGTTATTTTTACAATTTTCTTAGTAATACGACTGTACCAAGTATTTTTTTCATTTTAGGTGTAATAAAAAAACTATTATATCGTCAAAAATTATCATGGATTTTTTTTCAGTGTTTATAAATCATAAAAACGAAATATTATATAATCTATATTACTTAAGTGTTTTTTTATATTTTAAATAATTTGATATTTTTGTTATATTCAAAACTGGCCCTAAATACTGTTTTTACCTGAAAGTTTCATTTGAACTTACTGTCGTAACACCTTACATCTTCTGCCCTACGTGTATACGATTTTGTTGAATTTTGAAAAAAATCACGTACAAAAAGTCGTTATATGTTATTATTTGACCTAATTAAAAAGACAAACTGGTTCATTTATTATAGTAAAATATTTTCTCATTAACATTATATGTTATACATTTTGAACACAGTTGTGATCCTAAATGATGGTACATTTATTTGAAAATAATAACTGTTACTTGTTTAATTAAAGCCTGACCAAAAAACTAAAAACTGTAGCCATATTGCGAATATTTTCTACAAATACAACGTATTCGTAAATTTGCCAAGTGTTTGAATTTTCTTCTTTAACTCCATTGAATTTTCATGTTACTCGATGACCTTCTTTACCGTCTGGAAATAAATAGGGTGTAACATGTGAACGGAGTAGAAACCTATGGCACTGATATTATACAAAAAATAAAATATTGAATTAAATAAATAAATAAATTAAAATCTATAGAAATTCAAAACATATCCACCCTACTTTACGAACGGCAATAAAACAATAAATTTATTAGGCATCTTTGACCTTGTCACTTCGTGGGGTCACAAGATAGGGTGGATATGATTTGAATTTCGATAGATTTTAATCAATTTGTTTATTAAATTCAAAATTTTTGTTTTTATTTTTCGTTAAATAGCCATAGGCTTCTACTCCGTTCACATGTACATTTCATACACCATATTTATTTTCAGATGGTAACAAAGGTCACCGGTATACATGAATTTGATTGTTTCTGGTTGCAATTCTTAGCTTGGCTCGGCAGCTGCAGTTGTCTGTTATTTTAAATCGTTATCGAGAAGACACTACTGCCCATATCCTGTTTTAATTTCTCTTCTGTGCCACTTCGATAAAATGTCTATAAAAACTATGTTAGACACTTAGAAAGACGCAATATTCTTGAATGAATATTTTATCATCCAGGAGATTTAAGATCAAATAATTCACAGAGAGTCCAGGAAGTCTATTAACCATGAATATTAAATCGACAAAATAGTTGTATCATGTTGACATGACTACACTAATGACAATAATATAATATCGGCAAGTTTTTATTTTTGTGGTCAGGCCATAAGTTGCATGTATGTCGCATTACATAAATAAATCATTTATTCCCATAAAAGTTCATTTATGTCTATAGAACTATTTTTAGTCTTTTATGAATTTCGCCCACCATATTACTTGTTTTGTGTTTATGTGTGTTTATTATGTTTTTTTTTTCATTTATAGCCATTAACCTGTCCAACACCAATTGGATGTCTCGTACCAAATTGTCATTGTAAAATAATTTATTATCTTTATTATTATACGTTACTTGTTATCGACTCATAGGCTAGTTGTCATTGAATTATTTATTAAGTGGCCGCAGTCGCGGGGATCACGTTAGCGTTTTTATATTCTGTGACGGACCGACGGATACACCTTGAGATGGCGAACGTTCCAGAAATACGATGCCTTATGGCACGCAATTGAACAAATATGTGTGTGTTGAGTGTAAATTTAATAAACATAAATGTTCGTTACGTTTTCACCCATTTTCGGAGATAATTTGAAGTTTCACAGACGTATCAACAACCGATGACAATATCAGCATCACGACAGCTCATGATCAGCGCATTTTGTTTTTTTTTTTAACTGAAGTGATTGTACATCAAACAAAGTCACCTTATTGAACACGTAGGACAAAACGGGTACGTCCCATATTAACCAATTCAGACAAGTTTGGCGAGGGAGAAACCACTGCTCCACTTAACAGTCTATTCAGTCAGGTGTACAGGTCTGCTTTGTGGCAGTCTTTGAGATAGGACTCTTGTTGCCTCTGAGTTCATCGGAGTGGGTTTATCACACTTTTAGCTGTTTTTGCCGCTAAGCACCAGGAACCGCACGTCTATTTCGGTCTAAAATGTATAAAGAGCCAGTTGAATTACAGGCTTTGTGGCATTTCATCTTAGTCATGGTGAGTAGAGCTAAGGAGAGCCGTCTCTTTATATTAAAAAGTGGACGTAGGAAAGCGTTAAATAACGGTGGCGCCACTGTAGCTAGAGTTTAAATTTTAAGGAACTTTTTATAACTTTTTATTGTTTTCAAAATATTTATTATCCAAATCACTCAACGTGTTTCACGGCGATTTTCTCTAGGTTATATTTACAAAATTATTTTAGGCAACGTGAGTAGTTGGGGTTTTAAATACTA